CACCTACAAATTTGGCAGATAAGCGTTCTCTTCCCTTGACAGCAGCACATCGGAGGCAGGAGAAGTGCTGCAGGTTGAGCCTAGGTTGCATTAGGCATCATTTTCTTCCAAGCAACTTGTGCCAGAAAAACTGCTTGTGAGTCCTGTCTCAGAAAGGAAGACCTGTCCTCCCTCCTGTGCTGCCAGGAAGACCCCAGGACAGCCAAACCAACAGACCGATGGGACCAGACCACACCAGTGCTTCCCAGTGCCAGCTGGGCTTCCTCAGCACAGGAACTGTAATTTTCACCTCCCCAGTATGCACCGATGAATCTGGCCTTCAATTTGCAGCATGATGGGGTTCATAAAGGCTGAAATTAAATTGTCTTTTAATTTCAACTGAATGGCTTTTTTTCCTCTCCAAAGTCACCGGGTCTTAATTCAGTAAATTCTGCAAGATCCAGCTTTAACAATGCTGTTTGAGATACAATTACAGAAAACAAGACCCTTAGTGTACATTATCAAAAAAACTCCAACCAACAACAACCCCACAACCAAAAAACCCCAAAGGAGTACTGCAATACAACTCTACTTTAAAAGTCCACATTTGCTATTTATTTAGGTAGCTGACAATTTTACATAAGTTCAAATAAATGCCAGTTTCATGATGCACACATCCCATTCTTCATCATCTCAGCATGGCCTCAACACTTTTGGAGATTGTCACATTTACCGCTGCCTTTAATATTTTTTAAATATGGCACTACTAAACAATAAGCTACGGTACCACGTGGATAGTTTCAGACCACCTTTCAAGTGAAATATTAAAGTCTTGCTAATCCAGACACTGGTTCATTCAAAGTGGGGTTCAATATTATCATCTATAAATCAGTATTTGCTTTTATAAAATGTAATGGAAAATGCTAATAAGATTTACTTGTGAAGTGAAATTGGATTATATCTTATCTATTTTTAACTTGATTTGGTATAGTATTCCTCCTTCATGAACCAGCAGCTCAGCCGCTTCAATAGTTTTTTTTCCTCCCCCCTCCTTTCTCAGAATTCAGGCAGACAAATGCACCACAGATTCTCAGGCCACCATTTTTGAAAGGGAAATCACAGGGGACAGACATAAATTAAATAGAAAATGTAGATTATGCAATATGAAGCAGTATAAAGAAAAAAAACCCTGTAAAGTCATTAGAGTTATGATATATCTGCTGTAAGGCAGATAGCAAGCTGGTTGTTTGTGTATGGTTGGAAGTTGCCCAGCCAAGAAACTTGAAATTCAGAAAGTAATTTAAACCTGGTAATTTTCTTGTGCATGCTTGGATGACTGAACAACCGCTATATGCAATGAATATCCATATGCAAAATTATGCTTATATGCACCGTAACCACTCAGGGATCATTGATACATTCTATTAACTGGGCACAATAAAACCTTGATTTATTCCACGGTTATCAGGTCTGCAGTAAAGAACGGTCCTTTTAATAACACTGAAACAGTATAAAAAAAATTGTCAGAAGCAGCAGTTAAGCAATCACACTCATGCAAATGTAGTGCTGTACTGTCATCGTTCCGTGTGCTGGAGATCGTACGTCAAGACGTCGCTGTACAAGACAGTGGAGGGACACAGAGATGAAATGGGGATTACTCAGGGTCTGAGATGAAGCGATGCTTCTGCAGCACACGACCGTCCATACCCCATCAGATTGTAAGGGTGCAAAAGCAGGAGTTGAAGCATAAGCCACACACTTTACATCCAAGAGGATTTTCTATCGTAAGCACTGCAGGTAGGAAAGGCGATAGATGCTTTGTGAAATTACAGGATCCTTGCCAGACTGAGGAGGAGAGCTTGGTGCGCTGGTCATGGCCTCAGTGACGCTCGCCGAGGAAACAAGTGGTGAGTAAGGGAAATTAAAGACACGGTGGAGGTACCTGGCAGATGGGCACAGCATCCCTGCACCAGAAGCACAATCACAGGATAACACCAGGGTGGGCGAGGAGCAGCAGAGCCTGCAGAGCTGGTGCTGAACCCACATGGCAGGGTGTCAGTGGCAGAATTAAATAAGTTTGCAAAAGCAGAGAAAATAAAGGAATGGGATTTTGGGGGTGGGGGGGTGGGGTGGAGGAATAAAGCCTTACTTTTTATTGGTTTGTTAGACAAATGAACAGATATCTTCAAAGAAGAAATGGGACTGACATTTGACAGAGGAAACTGCCCAACCCAGGGTAACAAAAGGACCTGAAGGCTTCCTCTCTTCTTTATATGTCTTTCATTAAAATCTTTCCAGATTTAAACTTGAAAATCAATTTGATACAAATTTCTTGTAAATAGCAGCTAGTAAGCAAACCACAGTTCTCCTAAATGAAATATTTAGCTTTTACGGATGGAAAGCTGCCCTGCCAGGCCATCTCAACAGCCAGCAAGCAGACATCATTCTGCTGGTCTGATTGCACGCACGACATCCCTTTTCGAACAGGGCTGCCCACGCTGAGGTGCCGGGAAGAGAAGCTCGCCCCAGCACGTCCTGCCCGCCGCAAACAACGTGTCCCCAGGGCTGATCACGGCAGGGTGAGCTCTGCCAGCATCACCCAGCTCCGGCGTGACCCTCTCCCGAACCCAACAAGCCATTTTTCTGCCTGGTCAGAATGGATAAGCCTCAGCAGCAGCAGGGAGCAGATGTTGGGAGTGCTTTTGCATTGCGCTTAACTGGCTAGGGGACATCACACGACTCCAAACAGAAGCGCATTAGCAATTAGCCGACTATGACAAATCATTCATATATATAAAGTGTTTCATGCTGTAGCCAGATACTAGTCTTACATTAGTTCAACTTTATTCCCCCCACCTCCATTTTCTTCCTTGTAAGAAATACAAAAACCCCAACCTCTGTGTAACCCCAGTGCACATTTAGAAGTTTGCCTGAATGCAAGATAATGCCACGTGCATCCACACTATGGCAGAGGAGACCTCCAGCTTAGCCCAGGTAGCTGAACTGGGACAAAGGTCAGCTTGGACATTTTATTCGAGCTTGCTGGTTGATTTGGTAGTCTGTAGCATGTTTCTTACTGTAGACAGAGGTACCCTTACACTGCGTGCTGCAGGCAAACCTGAGCACCCCTTGCTCATGGTATGCACCAAAGAGGAGTAGGACCTCCTGAGCTCACACATCCTTCAACACAGACACGCTGTTCCTCCCCTTACTCCCTTGGCTCGCTGTTCAGGGAGAGCGAATCCCATCCCACCTGCGACCCAGCCCCTGCCACTGGCCAGAGGGGAGTCACTGGTCCCACTCCCAGCTGCTGCAGCGAGACCTTTGCTGGCCACGCAGACCCACAGCGGTGGCTGGTTGAAGGGCCAAGGGCTGGCGCAGGAACAAAGCATCGCTGCTCAGCTTTACCTTCCCGACACTGTCAATCTTTCCCACCCACAAAGACATCCAACAGACTCAAAACTCACGTTAAGAAAGTGGTGAGCTGAGGTCAGAAATAGTTCCAGCTTTGACATGATTCAGGGTGCAGGGCACACACCAGCTGGCACTTCAGATGCACGCTGCAGTTCAGCTTGAGTTTTAGCTTTGGCCAGCTAAATTGATGCTTTTATCCAAACTAGGACTCAGGCACATTTAGATCTCAGCTCAGAAAACAAGAAAGATTCCATGAGTTTACCACATCCACTGTGCTTTTTTTTATTATTTAAAAAGAAACCCCAGAACAACCACTAAGCAGGCTTACCAACTATGAGCACTTAGAAAACTCCCGAGACAGCTAGTTTCACCCTTATTAAAATAATCCCCGTGAAATAGCACAGATGAAATACTTGTTTTGCTAAAACTAGACTGAGCTCACCGTTCCTTCTGCTCCCTATTGCAAGTTATTTATCTAACAACACAAGCCATTTCAGAGTACAGCTCACGTGAAAGGTGTCACCCCCGAAACACCCCTGCTTTTGGGAATTCAGCAAAGCTGATGCAGGTGGAAACACGTCAATGAGGGCAAAGAAGCCCTGAGAATGGTGATGGACTCTGCATGAGCCTCCTCGAGCTGCTCCACCGTTGAAGTCTCTCCATGTAACTTGTAAAGCAAAGAGTGACGGTCACAGCACGTCATGCCAGCGCCTCAGGACCTGCAGCCGGTGTCACCAGCCCCTGTGACCCAGCAGCACAGCAAGCTGCCCATCAGACCCAGCGTACGATCCAGCTATGCTATAAGCAGAGCGCATCGACCCACCGTGTTCCAGGAAGGCACAAACCACAAGTGCCCCGGTGTCCTGCGAAGGAGGATGGTCTGGTCAGCTTCTGAGCACGGGAACTCCCCATAAACACCCGGGTAGCACAGCTAGCCCCATCAGTGACCCACCTGCAACAGCCCACCTCCACCACCTCCAGCTCTGCTGTGACCTGGGGACCCCATAGGGACAGCATCAGTGGAGGGAGACACAAAGCTGACGCCTCAAAAATTTGTGGCCAATAAAGGTGCCACAGCAATTTTCAAACCAGAAACTGTTACAAATTATAAGCTCTGTAAATACACTTAACCTAAGAAAATTCCATGTTTGAATGAAAGAAGTTATTCCCATTTTCTTTCCACTTTTTTTACATGTTGAAGTTTCTCATCTCCTTATATTATTGCACAACCATGACAAATTAAATCAGAAACACCTTAGCCCAACAACCACAGCATTCCTCAGAAGTTACTCAGATAATTGCTCAAAAAATTACTCCAAAACCTCTGTCTCAGCACCACAGCCCAGCGAGAGCACCTGCTATAAAGCCTGTGACAGCACGACTGTCCACAGCAGACAAAAGGAGGGTTTGAACCTTAATCTCATTTTACCTTCCTTTGGTGAGGCTAACTCATACATCAAATAGCACAAGTCATTTCGCTACCATAATACAAAACCCAAACACACTACAATTCCACCACAAGCAGCAGTTTGCTGCATTAGACTTTTCTTCTCAGCCGCATCCCTCTTCTCCATTGGATTTAGTGATTAAGAAACAACACAACTTACAGTTTACTGTGACTTTTACTTTTCTCACATCTGGGACTGAGACATCATTTTCTGCACTGCATTCATATTCTCCAGCCTGGTCTCTTGTAATTCCATAGATGTCCAGGTACTGCCCGCTCTCAAAGGGTTTTGCTGAAATGAAATAATCAGAGAAAGAAATTACTGGAAGCTGATCACAAAACACGTGAAGCTTCACCAAGATGTGAACAGCAGCCAGAGGGTTTTGCTGGGTGCTGCAGATAACACACCTCCAAGGGAAACCACCATAGATTTTGCTCAGAAATCCCAGCCCCAAGCTGAGCTGCAAACCCCCTCAAGCTCCTGGGTTTGACTAAGGGTCCAACCCTGACCCACAGTCAAGCTCAGCATCCTCCACATCCATGAGAGCAATTTGCTAACACAACCCTGCACCTGCCAAATCTCTCAGGAGCATGGTCAGAGCCTTGCCTTAAGAGTTTCAGCATCCATCAGGGTTTATGGTTAGCACCTGGGCACAGACCCACCCCCCTACAGCAATCAGAAGCAAATCCAGCGACCAGGGCAGGCTAAAGGGACAACAGCCCAGCCCCAAAGCAGCTGACCCAGCCCTGCTGCTGCTGGCCCCAGCGTCAGCTCCCCATCACAGGTGACCTCACTTTTCAGGGACCATTTGACCTTGTAGCTGTACAATGGTAAATCTCATCAGTTGGGGATCACCTGCACCCCGGGGGCTGACAGAGCCAGACGTGTCCTGGAGGGAAGCAGTGGCTGATCACCTCTGATGAGTGGCCATGGGTGCAAAAGGGGGGGGGTTATCCCACATCCTAGCTCCAGGGAAAAAGCCCTTTCAGGCTTGCCCACCACACTGCTCAGTGTTTACATGTTGTGCCCTAATAAACACTTCATCATGTTTATTAAAAATTAAATAATAGCTTTCCTCTCCCAAAGGACCCAAACCCAAGAAATAAGGTTCTCAGTGTTTGCCTTCTTACACAGAAATAAGGACAGTCAGTGTGAGCGCTTATGAAAATAGGTAGAGGTCTATCTGATGTCAGACAGTATGAAGACCAAACTGAAATATATGTGTGTGTAACTCCTTAGTGCACTGTAACTAAAAACATTAATTGTTTTAGAGGACAAGAACAGTTGTGTGTTTCAAAAGCTGATTTATCTCCACTTGACATGGAGTCATACAGAAATTTTTGTAGTTTTCTAAATCCCAGCACCTCCCAGCTTTTCCGTACTGCGGTTCCCACCTTGCAGCGAGCACTTTGATATCCTTCAGATGAAAACTGCTATCTGGTTCAAAGTTCATCTTTCTACGTTTTTTGAGTAGTGACTCTAGGTGGGGACAAATTAATTGGTTTAGATTCCTCACAAGGCATTGACTACATAATAAACCCCCAAAAATGTAATTTTTATCTTAAAACAATATATCATAGCAGTCATGACTACAGACGCTGGAAATTATAGGCCTAAAGGTTAAAAAGACTTGCTGAAACTGTTTTCCCAGACAGACAAGCTTTTAATTGACTGTTGATAACTTTGCAACTTATGGAGCAATGACAAAAATCTGAACCGGGTAATGAGAACTAAGTAAAAGTATTATCTTCATATCCATCACAGCAGTGAATTTCATTTCCTTATCTGTTCACGGATTGATGTTTTAAAGTGTGCAAGGTTCAAAACTTCAGTTATAACAGTGCATCACTTAGCAAGATAGCACTCATTAATAAGCACAATATACCATGCCTGTCACAGGAAAGAGCCCAAGTAAGCAGTGGTTATGTAAAGTAGAAAGATAAGACTGAAATTGGAAAATTATTGTGAACTGAAGTGAACATTCACAAAATGCAATGAAATAATTTATAGGATATGAGAAATTGCATGAGAATTAATTTTTTTCTCTTCCATGTTGTTCTTAGGAATAAATTACAAAAAAAAAACCCCTTCACAAACAAACCAGTTGTTACTGTTCACATTGTGGCCCTCATCCTGCTCCACTTAGGCCAGGTTGAATCAATTTCCAGAAAAAAGTTTATTTACTATTACTTTGAACCACAGTGAAGGATGCAAAGCCTCTGCCTGCACAGGGGCCTCTGCCCAGGCAAAAGGGAGACCTTCCAAAAAGACTTCTGCTTTGTTTCTAATACCAAGAAAAAGATCTAAAATGCAAAATTCTCCTGTGCATCAGGTTAAAAATTACTATTAAATTATGAGATTGTAATGCTCTCCAGTGTCAGTACTTTCCTGGATATATAGTATGCACTGAAATATTGTACACTGACTCCTGGGAATAACTTACGATGTATCCTACCCCAATTCCCAACATCAATTTGGAAAAAAGAAAAAAAACATCTCCAAGTACCTGGAATTTCATAAAAATGGTTATTTGTGTTTTGGAGTTGAACTAAAGCCAAACATTCTCTGTTAATAATCCAGTCTCTGGATTGTAGCTGTGCTTCTGGCACTGGCTTTGCCACCTGAATGGGATAATGTTCAGCCTCAGCTGGGGTCAATACAGCCGCCACTCCATCCTGACAGAAGTGACAGATTTAGGTATTCGGCACAATTCTGCTACAGCATAAGCACCATCAGTTCTCAGGTCTGGCAAGCAGTCATCCGTCCAGCTGAAAAATCCCAACAGGAGCAGTACCTGCAGGGAAAGCAGGTGTGTATCCAGCGCTGGCACCAGCCGGCTCCAGGATGCTGCTCTGGGATGGGAGAGCACCGCAACAAATCGCTACGGCTCAAAGGCATCAGCGCTGCCGGGTGGAGAGCTGGTGGGAGTTCCCACCGTAATCTCTGTTAGAATGGTTTGCAAAAATGCCCATCAGCACTTTTCATAACCCTTGTATTTATAGCGATCTTATGCTGAGCTATTAACCTAATTTATGCTGCAAAATACACATGCAGTTTCATAGTGCTGTAAACCCCATGTATTTTATGCAACTCACATACACATTTGAAAATATTAAAATTAAGTCATGTTTGAATCCACATGTCCCCAGAAATTTTGCATCAGGCTCACATAAGAAAGTTTTGAGTAAATATGAGACATAAATACTTTTCTTAGGCACTGCATAGATACCACGTTTCATCTTTCCTATTCATCTGCATAGTATTTCATCTTTGGCTTGTTTTTAGTTCTAGAGATTTCCCATAGCTGTGTGGGAGAAGTTAAATCGTGTTATGTGAAAGATATACGCATAAGTATACGTAAGCATATTTATGTTACATTGCATGCACATCCAGCTCAAAAAGGGATATTCATAAGCATCAGGGAGAATAAATTGTGTATAAAGACATCGGTGAATGAAGATGAGTTCCAGGAGACCACTCAGTTTTCTCACTGTTTCTTTCTGTGATGTCTTACAGCCCAGGGTAACCGCACCTTGCTCTGCCCTTCTGCAGACCATGTGCATTTTATGGCTCTACCAAGAAATCAGGAACACACCAGGCTGACTTTTTTGGCCATAGAGCCAAAAGACTTATCAGACTTGGTATCTGAGAAAAAGAAATCTGGAAGGTTCATTAGCACCAGTCCTTCAGCCTGAGGTCGTCTCAGCCAAGATCTTTGATCAAAGATGGGAAAAATCTGTTAGTTGAAGCGAAAGAAACATAAACATGAGAGTGCCTCATGTCCAAGGCCATTCCCGATGGATTTTTCAGAAGATCTCTTAACCAGGCTTACGGATACACATAGTGACACGTAGGTAATCTGCTCTGGATATCTCAGGTTATAAGACCAGGTTCTCTAGCCAGGAAAGGAAACACCTGTGAAACTAAGCTTGAATGCCTATTTTCTGCTACTGCCCTGTGATATGATGCCTGATAAATCATCGCACTTGTTATTCCTCAGGAGAGTACACAATTAAAACTGTGTTTTCTTACCACGCATATGGTATCTGGCATCAGGTGTAGCACACGTACACATTGCCATATGGACCAGTTCTCAAAGGCTTGGATGGATGAGTTTTGCAAGGGTAGCATTTCCCTCCCCTGGTGTTAAACATAAGTCAGTAAGAAGAAGAATCTGGTGCAAGTCCAGGGTAGCTCCAAAAAACTCTGAGAACTTAATCTGAGCCAAGGAGGATTTTTTTTCCCCTTATTCACTAGGATATTAAATAACTACAATATAGTCCCAGTTTACGAATGCTAAGACCTGTTCAGTGCTTTTATGACCCAATCTTTGAGCTACCTCATCCTCCAGCAGAGACCGAAGACCCTCATAGGGCTGGGAGCGTGGAGAGCATGAGGCTGAGCTGATGCCAGTCCTGGTTCATCACGGACTCAGGGCATTTCGATGATGCACACATGAGAGATTGCGCAGAGCCGAGAGAACTGTCTCCCAAGAGAGAGGAGACGTGGAGATCCCCTTATGAGTACTACCTCTATGATGAGAACTGGGCTCAATATGAGAGAACAGAAGGTGGTCTCCAATGACCGTCATGATGCCATCTAATTATCACCAGGTGCTTTAAGTGACCCGTAAGGTCCTTCTTGATCTCAGAAGTTGGGTGGAGATATAGGATCAAGGGTGCAAGGAGGCACCTTTCTTTCCTGGAGATGTGTTGCCATGGGATGCTGAGCACAATCTAAAGTCTAAACAACTGGATTCACCCAGAAAAATGATCTGAAGCCATTTCTACTACTCATTATGGGTTCTGGGTTTAAAGTTACACCAAATGCTGTAATTGGATAGTCCCCTCCAAGGAACTGCAGGTAATATGAACAGCTTGCTGTCTGTTAGGAGAATGGCCCTATCACATTAGAGACCATTTAAACATTGATCACTGAAGGCCATTTAGAGTAGCGATGCTCCACGCTTGGAAAGAAAAATCAGATAAAATGTAAAGAAACAAAATAGCCAAACCTGATAGATAAATTGAGGGCTGGAGGGGATCTTCCAGCTGACGACACGAAACAAGAAAAGCAAGTAAATCAATTTTGTAAGAAAGGCATGCTGATAAAAGAAAAAGAGATGTGAATGTAGACTGACAAAGTTGAAAGTTTCGGAGGTGGAGACAAACAGGGTTACAGCTATGCGTGAAATATATTGGTACGGAGAGAAGGGTTTGGAGAGCTGGCTGTGTGCATGCTCATAGCATGGGCAATGTAAATCTCAGCCAGTTATCAAGAGATGTTATGTG